TCGAGTTATTTATACCAGGGGGAGGGTCGAGTTTGAGTTATTTATACTAGGGGGAGGGTCGAGGTCGAGTTCGAGTTATTTATACCAGGGGGAGGGTCGAGTTTGAGTTATTTATACTAGGGGGAGGGTCGAGGTCGAGTTCGAGTTATTTATACCAGGGGGAGGGTCGAGTTTGAGTTATTTATACCAGGGGGAGGGTCGAGTTTGAGTTATTTATACCAGGGGGAGGGTCGAGGTCGAGTTTGAGTTATTTATACCAGGGGGAAACAGCTGGAAAGAACAATAGTGGTGACAGAGTTGTGGTTCATAAGCCGCATGCTACCTACCCCATGGACAGCTACAAAAACAAATGAAGAAGTCTTGGTTGAATGAAGCAAATTGTAGAAGACAGCTTATGACGAATATAAAAAAGCGACAGGCAAATTTCTTCGGACACACAATGCGGAAAGAAGCATTGGAGAATATTGTAACAACAGGCAAGTCTGATGGAAAGAGAGGCAGAGGCAGACAGAGGGAAAAGATACTGGACAAGATGACAACATGGCTAGAAGCAACAAGAACAACAGACACCATTGCTGCAACACAAAAAAGAGTGAAGTGGAGGTCCAAGATCGCCCACGCCAGTCGGCAAGGCACTGGATGATGATGATACCAGGGGGGAGGGTCTAGGTCGAGTTTGAGTTATTTATACCAGGGGGAGAGTCGAGTTTAAGTTATTTATACTAGGGGGAGAGTCGAGTTTGAGTTATTTATACCAAGTGGAAGGTCAAGTTTGAGTTATTTATACCAGGGGGAGAGTCGAGTTTGAGTTATTTATACCAAGTGGAGGGTCGAGTTTGAGTTATTTATACCAGGGGGAGGGTCGAGTTTGAGTTATTTATACCATGCACATTATGTCTACGGTGTAGCACGCACATGTGACATATCGCTACCTCTGAATCACAAAATTATATCTGCTCAATACCTAGTTTTGATAAATTTGACGCAAACATTTTACATTATGTCAAGCTTTTTCGAAAGGTATTCTTTGAATATCTTGAAAACGGCTCCGAATATTCTTACAATTTTGATAGAGCTGACAGACGCTTTGCTTTCTGGCCTCATGGTCTTAGAACTCAAAACTCCCCCC